TTTCGGCAGCCTTTGACGGCCACCAACTCCTTTTTTAGACCGTATGAAGGCGTGATCCCAGATGAGATTGAGATTTCAGAAACAAACGCCAGAGAAGTTCGACCAATGCTACTCGGATGGTAAGCCCACATGGGTCTTCCGTAAGTGGGCTGAAACCGTTGGAATAGACTGTTCATTGATGGTCATATTGTCAACAAATCGAGCTTCCCTCAAGTGATTGGATGTCAAGAATCTCAAAACGTGAAAGCTTACCGCATTCGCATCGCCCATCTGTGACCATACGACAAAGCCTCCTTTGATAATCTGTTCTGGCCTGACCCCGAAATTCTCAGGCTTCCAAATACAAAGATCCGCAAGCTTCCCTACCGAAATGTCCCCAACCTCCTGGGAAATACCATGGACAATCGCACTTGGATGTTGAAAGTGAATTTGAATGTCAAAACTCGATTGCTTCCTGCGAGATTTTGGGAGAGAGGAGCTTGACTTACGGATTGATGGTATACTTTGCAATATAGCGTTTCACGCGATCATTATCAATCCCACGAAGTTTTTCATCCTCAGTTAAGAAACCTTTGAAAACTTTCATTTTGGAAGCCGTCCTCCAAGTCCGACTAATGACTTCGCCAATCCTTCCCATCGCTTGTGAATCTGAGCTGATTATTGAAAGGGCACCAAGATCATGTAAGACGTCCTCAGCGGCGACCGTCTCACCGCGGATACGAGATTCGGCAAACGCGATGTCTTCCGGAATCGATTTGTCAAGATGGTGACAGACAATCAGCATCTGGAAAGTCGCCGATCATGAGCACACTGGAAAACATAGACACTTGATCTGTGTAAGCTGTAGCACTTTGCTTACGTCGAGGTGTTCATCGAGAGTATTGTTGGTAAACGGTCTGGTCGGATTTGTTGATGACGGAAGCACATTATCCTTGCCACAGACGACGATAATGTCTGGAGCATGGCCTCCCCCTGCACCTTCGGTATGATATCTGTGTTGAACAATCGATTAATAGATTACATTAATCAAATCTCAAAAGGGGTACCAACGTATGTATCACACGGTCTTTGAATGCCTTGATTGTATCTTCGACAAAACCTGATTCATTAAGCGCTGGTGTGGATCGACAAATCAGCAGTAGGACTCTTATCAAAGCGCTTGAAGGTTCACATACTGTCTGTGTGAATGTTGCACTTCAAAACAAGACCAGATTAGGATTAGGATCTCACTATTTTAGGAATGCAAAAAAATTATGCAGCTTGGAAAGTATACCTGAATGTCGTATTGTTCGCAAACACTCAAACAAGAATCAATCGCGCCCGGAGTGGAACCCCAATCCTAGAGAAAAAGTGATTGATGATTAATGAAAAACGAGTATCTGATGTTTTTTTTTTTTTTTTTTTTTTTTTCAAATGGCTCAAGGTTTGGGGCGGGAAGGAAGATTAAAGTTTTGGGACAGACCTCGTGTAACTTCAAGCCACCTACTCCCGAATAGACTTGATCCACCAATCCTTCCGGCTTAGAGTCGTTACCTTTTCCCGTTAGTAAGATATTCATGGGTACATCATCAGTCGACAAAAGCATGTTTCTCTGGTATGCAATTTCATGATCAGCTTGAAACACAAGGTCTCGGCGAGGATGAGAAAGGGACTCCAACACATTGAAGCTGACTTACAATCAAGGTTCGGGATGGCGTACAAGTGGTTGCGTTGGTTCCAGCGACGGGGCCAGTACCACCGCCGATTAAAGTTGTAATACCATTCGAGAGGGCTTCCGGACATAGCTGGGGACATATGAACTACAATCCAAAAAAAAAAAAAAATAATACTAATATTAGCCATGAATAAGCTCAAAACATATCGGGTGTGCGCAGACAACTCACATGGACGTGAGCATCAATCCCACCTGCCGTTACGATCATTCCTTCCCCGGCAATCACTTCAGTATTCACACCAACGACCATCTGATCAGAGACGCCCGCCTGAATATCGGGGTTTCCAGCTTTTCCGATCCCTGAGATTCGGCCATCCTTGATGCCTAAGTCTGCCTATTTATACCAAGTTGGGAAAACACGGAGAAAGTTAACCTGAGAACTTGATTTGAACAATATGCTCTCATGTCTGCCTTGCCTTGTAGATTCCAGACCAATCCAAAACTAGGGCATTAGTGATCACTGTATCCAATGTCTCAGCATCCGGCCGACCTGTAGCTTGACCCTGGTTTTTGAGAAGAACACTGTGATTGAAATGTTCTTTGACTAGCCAAAGAAATTCTGGAAAAAGTTGTTCTTACCATTCCTTCTCTGACCACTTTGCCACCGCCAAACTTGAGCTCTTCGCCATAGCAGGTGTGGTCATACTCAACTTCGACCCAAAGGGATGTATCTGCGAGGCGAACTTTATCACCCGTTGTTGGTCCGAACATGCTAAATAAAACCCAGCATCAATTCCTGAAGGAAACATTGGGATGTGTTGCACAAGGATATTATCGAGCTCAGTTGATAAGCTCACTTAGCGTACGCCTCCCTTGACATCTCAAATTCTTTGAGAGGGCTCTCAACGTGGATGGCTGGTTCATGCTCAAAACCTTTGGCTACCAAACTGTCTATGAGCGCTTCAACGGCGAGGGAATCGTCTTTCTGCAAAATATGGCCTTCCAGACCATTGCCGCCGGATACTTGACCACTCCCAGCGATCTCGACCATAGTGACCATTCGTTGGTCACCAGGCTCGAAGCGAACCGAAGTGCCTGCAGCGATATCGAGACGATGACCCAGAGCGATTTTGCGATCAAATCTCAAGGCTGGATTGGTGAGGGAAAAATGATAATGCGAGCCGACTTGAATAGGTCGGTCGCCAGTATTGGTGACCTTTATCCTTATTCGCGCTCGGCCAACGTTGAGGCTAATGTGCTGTGAGGTCGGGGAATCAGTCGGGCTTTGCACCACAATCGCCCCTGGTAGATCATGCTCCAAGGACGGCTGGACATGATCAAAGAACAAGTCGGGAGCAGGGGTGATGCAAGAGCCGTAGAGCGCCAGCGAAAGATGCGGGTCCCGACCACTCGGACTGCAAATCGGCGAATGAACGGTTACAAGGAAGGTGCCATCCGGGCTGTTGGTGAAACGCAGACAGTTATAGAGTCAGTTGAGCGCTGGATGAGCATGAGGGCGAATGAGGTTTTCTTAAGGAGAGATTGAGGCGACGTGCAAAGTTCCCTCGACTTGGACATCGGACAAGCAGCCGGGCACGGAGGGCTGGACATGACGGAAGCCCAAGATTTCTTTTCCGACCTGCATGAGCTGGGCAACCGACGATTGGCCATCCCGGATCAACCTGGTTGTTCAGAATGTCAGATCAAGGCGTACCATGAGCAACTCATCAGGGAGATAGCCAGAAGAGGAAAAAGCAGTTTTGCAGACTCGCTCACTCACTCCTGTAAAACACAAGCTATCAGGGCCGTCGCTTCTGACAAATTGAGTCGGACTCCTCTAGCCAGTCTCCTCTGCGCCAGGAACCCGGTGGTCGTCAGCAGCAACTTATCTTGATCCTTGGTACTGAGATACATCAGAACAGCCTGCTAAAATACTTCTTAACAATCCACGACTTTGGTATGTATAGAGTGCACCCAATGGAAAAGATCCTTATAAATATGTGGGCAAACAGCGAGTCGTTCATCTCAACAGCACAAACGACATGCGAGGTGAACTTCTTATGTATGTATTTAAGCAGTTCCAAGTAGATACATCAGCCTATGGAAAAACTGAGCCAAATTCGATGACACGAAAAGAGGCCTGCTATACTATCCGGGCCTCCGGGTTCGCGTGTGGCTCCTCCGACATCCGGACCCCCCGACCCGCCACATCCGGCTCTGGCAATGGCCGATGGGGCATGTGGCAAAAAAAAATGTAGTGGGCCATACTCACATAAATAGCACCAACCAGCAATGCTCTACTATGCCTTCATTGTAAGAATCAAATTTGCGTGTGCCTCACTGATTCGTGTGTTATCATCATGTCAGCATCCCATGGATCCACCTTAGGGGCAGAAAATACAATCCACTTGCAAATGGCCATGAGGAGATACAATCTTACCTCACAATGTGCTATGCAATTAATCTTGCCACAGTTGTCAGATTGGCGATCCGATTTATACCTTCGTGAGCTGGTCCGTATGAGCTGGTTCAGCTGGAACTATAGGGTGGAGCCCAATGGGTCAAGCTTGTGGTGAACTTCCAAATTATCTCCAGACTGACATCCCGGAGTGCGTGCATAATTATCTACATATACCCTGCGGAGCACGATTTTATCACCGCTGCAGGCCGTCAACCCAGCTAGAGTCAGCTTTGCATGGCCTCTATCTGCCTCTATCAGCTTGTAGAACCTTCAACCAACCACACATTGACGTCTAATTTACAGATAGATCACACATCTTTCTTCACCCCCAACGATCATCTATGCGCACCAGCCAGGGAACACCTTTTCTCTGCACACCATTCCTTTAATAACACAATCGTTGCTAAGTTGGGCGGATTCATAAAGCCACCTTTAAACCTACCTTTTCCTTCTCAGCCTCCACAAATCAGCATTTATATCCACATACCCAGGGTGCCTTTCTTTCCTTTTCGCACTCTATAACATGCGCTTGTACCTCTTGGCATTTTTGGTCACTGTTCTTTATCCCAGTGCATTCGGTGTCTCAGCTGATTGTGCTCCCAGGTCGCCAACCAAGAAGCACCATGGGAAGCTTAACGGTCAAGGTGCCTATCGGCTGATCGCTGACAGCAACATTTGTGAAACTACGCCCGGAGTTCACACTTACTCCGGCTACATCAACATTTCTCAGAATCATTCGCTGTTTTTTTGGTTTTTTGAAGCGCGTAACAACCCTCAGAGCGCTCCGTTCACTCTCTGGTTAAACGTACGCAATTCCCCTCTAGCTTATGTTCTAAATTGATGATATTGACCCATTTGTTTCTAGGGAGGTCCAGGGTGTAGCAGTCTCATCGGAGCTTTCCAAGAAAATGGACCTTGCAAAGTCAATGCACAAGGCAACGCAACGACTTTGAACCCATACTCATGGAATAAATATGCTGTTAGTTTCTGTCCATCTAGGGAAATTGATGCTTTGATCTTCCGTCTTACACGCCAGTTTACCGCCGACTGACATTTGCTCTTGTCTTCCTAATCATGCATCCTAGCATGTTCTTTATTTGGACCAAGTGAGGGGCCATCTCTCCCGTCAGACTGCTTCGTGTTACTTGCCATGTTTTTTTACTCAAGGAAAACAACTTTCTAGCCGATTCCTGCCGGGTTCTCATACGGGGTTCACGACGTCTACAGCACAGACCAAGCGGCGCATCGTGTATGGCAATTCTTTCAATACTTGTTCAGCATCCCCCATTTTTCAACGTACGAATCCCGCGAGCTATCCTTTTGGACTGAAAGCTATGGGGGCCAATACGGTTAGTAATTAATTATTTTTCTCAAAGATGGGTGAGTATCTGATCCCGTTTTTAATTCCAGGCCCCAAGTTCACGGAAGTAAGCCAGCGTTTTGTTTGATTTTTTTGAATTATCTTGACGATCAGTGTAGCCGCTTAACTCTATGAGAATTTGAACTTGGATCTCCTCCAAAATTTAGTACTTTGAGCATCAGAATGACCTGATCAAATCTAAGAAGATAGAAGGACACATCGTACATCCAGCCTCGTTGGGAATTGTAAGTTTATGACCCCTTCAACCTGATCGATGGTATTGACTTGGTTGACCCAGGAAACATTATGGTACTTGGTTTCAGACAACCGGCTGGTTCGATCCCTACTATCATGCAAGTTTCCTCGCACAATCCCTGCTTCCATTGGAAAACTTGAGGGTTTCGCTGACTTTCGTTTTACGCGACAATCCCTGTCAAAAATAATGACGGACAATCGACCAAATTTTTTTGAAACAAATAGTATCCGTCGTACTACGACTATGCCCAGGCCAAATATAATCACGTGGAGGACCTCGTGGAGCCAGATGTCTTGGCTGAGATGAAAAAAGCGTTGGATTCACCCAATGGTTGTGTTGCCCAAATTAAGCAGTGCGCAAGCACCGGTAACAACACAATTTGTCGACAAGCCGACGACTTTTGCACGCGATTCGTGTCAAACCCCGCCGTAGGCAGTAGGAATCCGTACTACTGTAAGATGCACATTTTTTCTTTTCTTTCCGAATCATTATCCCAATCTGAAAGGTATATTTTTCAGTTGAAAATCCAAAGTCGGATCCTTTCCCATCCGAATCGGTGAGTTTGTCCGTCATTTACCCAGGAATCCAGCTGATAGGTCAATTTCCCTGATTGCATTACAATTTAAGTATGTTAAATATTTATCACTTCCGCAAGTAACGAGCGCAATCGGCGCCGAATCAAAGTTTACCGAATGTCCGGATGGGTAAGTTGTCACCTTGGTCTTCCCATATGTCATCTCTCTGCCTGCGAGCATCATCACAACTTATGCATTTGATCCAGTCCCAATGACGATTTCACAACAACTGGAGATGCCGCTAGATCCTCGACCCCAGCGCTTGCTAAGCTTCTGAACAAAGGATTGCGTACAGTGATCTGGGCTGGCGTAAGTTCTTTCTTACTGAGTTTGCCTCGATAGAGATAATAACCAAGAATCATTTTGATTCTGTCACAGGACCGCGATTTTATTTGCAACACGTGAGAGAAATTTCTGCTTTCAAGTAACCCATAGCAACCATATCTGGAGAGAACCTGCCACGCATCGTTCAAGTTGATTTAAGAAACTCATGTTCCTGCGATACATCAGACTTGGTGGCTACCGTTCTATCAGTTCGATGAACTGGCAACACGGGGAAGAATTTCGCAAAGCACCATGGTCTAAGTTGCACCTTAAAGGGCAAATAGTTGGGATATATAAGCAAGCTGGTAAAATTTCCATTCTGATCATCATTTTTGTACCTCCGAGCTTATGTGATTCAGTCATGATTGATAATCATCTCATATGCTCTGCCAGGTCCGTTGACATACATCACAGTCTACAAGGCAGGACACGAGATTCCAGCATACAAGTAAGGCATTCATTTTTTTTGATGATTTTTCAGGAAAACCCAAAGAGCCAACAATTGATGAAACGTGATTTTTTTTTTTCAAGGCCAGAACTGGCCTTGGAGGTTTTTAGACAAACCATCTTCCATGAAAACATCCATAGTACTTAGAAATTACAAATTCTGGATTGGCCCAAATTACATGGTAAACAAAACAATATCCAGTTAGAGATATGTCGAGAGAAAGTAACGCGGAAAACCACTAGCCTATCTATTTTATCTCCATTTTCTCTTTTAATGCAATCGTATCAATTCACGCCCAAGATGCTGCTTGATACTCGCCTAAAAGACGTTATTTGGTAAAACACATTGTTGCATGGACTTGATTTTGACGATGATGTGTTTTGCTTGATTGATCAACTCCATTTTAAATTCTAATCCTAACGCTGTCATAATTTTTGAACAATTCAAATATTTCCTTATAGCCTCTCAAGTGTCATTTTTCCACTGCGAGTGATATTTTCACGAGTCAACTGCAAGTTAATGAGTCTCATGCACAAAATATCCAAGTGCTCAACCAAGCCATCGGGTGAAATAGAGAGGTTACCAATAAAAGCCAACTTACCAGAAATCCCTCTGAGCTGTAGTCAGCCTGCAAGGAAACACAACAGTCCCACAAGCTAATATTTTAATTCCTATGGTGGCTGCCTATGTTAACTCAGATTAAATGAAATTTGTATCTTTGTGATTTCTATCCTGCCCATAAATTCAAGAGGCAACATTTTATCAAACAATCCTTCATTTTCATCTCAAACTAGATGATTGTATCACTTCCCTGAAATAGTCTTTTCTGATATATCAACCCAGCCTAGGTCACTGTTCTGGAATACCACTTTGAATTTCTCAGATAAAAAGATCTTGTTTATCATCTTCAGCTTGCCCAAAGAGGCTGCACCTGTCATTGAGTCCTTAGTGGGATTTGGTTAAGTTTTTGATTCTATCAGACACCATGAAACCTGGTTATTTTTGTGGGCTTATGTGTTTGAATTTCATTTTAACCTAGCTGCTCTGATGTTACCTCACCAGGACATTGGCTGTAGAGCTGGAATTGTTGAGACTTGACTGCTGGGTGATTATTCAGGCTAAGATTACAACTGTGATCACTTCAGTGTTACTACATACCCCAATTAGCAGACCCAGCCATTAAATGTTTGATCTGGCAATTCCTCTAACGTTTTTCAAGCTCCAAAGCACCTGTGACAAACTGAACACATTCTCCTCTATTCTGACTTCCCATTGGAGTGTCCTCCATGCAACATTCAACTTTCCCCAGTCAATTTTCAACTACTGCCATCCCAGACAGTCACCATCATTACCCTTGCATTAGACTCTAGCATCCTTTTTTAAACCTGATCTAGAATTATTTCCCAAGAACTTTGAGCCAAAATTGACTTCCTGGAGACATCTACAAAACATACCATCAGCTTGAAGCTACCTCAGAAACCTGGTACAAGATCTACTGGCTTTCACTGATCAATACAAAACCTCCTTAGGTAAACCTGTACATCATCATTTCTTGTTGTCATTGGTCAAAGACATTGGGGATCTGTCTATGGTGCGGCATTCCCTCAGCTACCTCATGTATATTTCTAGTCTCAAGCAACCTGCACTACTCTCGAGCGCGTAAAGGCGTGAATGAATTTGGGGGGGGGGGGGGGTGTTCCATTCCCCGCATACTTTGGGTGCCGGTACACCTGTTGTTGTATGTATGTTGGCTCATAGGGAGGTGCCTTTGTGGTCTACAGGACTTGGTTCATGTAGCTGAGAACAATAGCTAGCTCGGTCTCAAGCAAGCGCAAGGAAGACGATGGAAAGATGCACCAAAACTTATAATGCCTCACTCATCGTGGCAGTATAAAAACTTGGACTCTGAGAGTCTGAGTACCAAAGACGCGAGTTTGCGATTGCTATGTAAGACATGAGGAAAAGACATCGGAGGCACTTCACTTGAAACCGTGCTGGTATTCGATGATCATATCGTTGCTACATACTAACCATCCGTTGAGAAATATTTCGGAGGAACGCGCCGGAAACAAACCCCTGGAGCGATTCCTCGACAGATGAGGCTGGTAAACGTCAAGCACCTGCGCACAGTGTGCCCCCGGAGATCGCTTCAGTCCATCAGGACCCGGAAGCCTTTTCATCGGACATCATCTCGAACAACGCACGAGAGCTGGCCGCTGTTGGGTTGCATGTACCATGAGTACATACCTTCACATACTCATCAAATTTTCGGCGAGTTTTCCATCATCTCAGTGGCTTTTCCTTTCATGCGAAGATTCAGTGCAACTCGCATCTACTGAAAGGACTCTAAGAATCTTCCTTACCATTGATCCTTTACCCTCCTAGGGCATCTACCCAGTCTTTTTTAGCACATGTACAAAGGCAGTCTAAGGCTCTTTCTTTGACATCCACTTTTTTGACACGTCCTGTGAGTAGGGTAACCCCTCTGTTAGTGCCTAAAGCAACAATGGTGGCATGTCGATCATCTATTGCGCGTCTTGACGGTTGGTGGTCAGCAGTGGCCATCCCGTTGGGCATAGAAAATATTACCGTGCATTCTTAACCCTGTTACGGCTAGCCATTTTCAATTCAGCACACTCATCAACGGGGAACCGGGGATAGATAATATATCATACGCCTTGGTTGATCACTCGCCCTTTTTACTGCAACATTAGTCCTTTGTTTTCTCGCACATCAATCCCCATCGTAGCCAAAAGACGTGTTGTTAGCCGGGAGACCTCACTTTAAAACCGCTGCTTACCTTCCGGGACGATTTCCAACCCTCGCCATTCAGTTATTGAACCCCGTCATGCTTTTTCGGTTGTTGATTCTTTGGCTAGCCATCTACCATAGCGAGGCGTTTAGGATTTTTCCTAAACAGATCTCGCATGGACAGAGACATGTCAAAGGGTCTTATCGATACATGGTCGATAGTAGAGTATGCGAAACGACACCCGGCGTCAAAAGTTATTCTGGGTACATTGATACCGGCAACAACCAGTCAATGTTCTTTTGGTTTTTTGAAGCACGAAACAACCCCAAAACAGCACCATTAGGCTTGTGGTTAAATGTAAGTGCTTCGCAAATTTGAGCATCTTTTTCTGATTAAAGCCAGCTAATGAAATCCTATCTTTTATTTCTAGGGAGGGCCTGGTTGCAGTAGCTTATTTGGGGCCTTGCAAGAGAACGGCCCTTGTCGTATTAATGCTGAATCCACTCAGTCAAGCTTGAATCCTTATTCATGGAATACTTACGCAGTGAGCCTTGTTACCCGTTGTTCTCTTTCTAAGTTTTTGCTTACTCCAATGCCTTTACTCGTACTGATTCTTACTTTGACCATCTCTCATCCTACCAGAATATGCTTTACATTGACCAGGTGAGCAACCTTTGACACATGAGTGCGGATTGTACGGTGCGCCTCAGGAGGTCATGAATCTAAATTCGACCAAACTCTTTTGACAGCCAATCGCCACTGGTTTTTCGTATGGCGACCGGAACGTATTTAGCTCAGATCAAGCAGCGGCCCGCGTCTGGGAGTTTTTCCAAACGTTTTTTTCCATCCCCACGTTTTCCCAATACGCGAGTCGGGAGATGACTTTTTGGTCCGAAAGCTATGGGGGACACTATGGTTAGCTCTTCACCAGCCCCTTTTCAGCCGTTAAACATCAAAATATCTTGCTCTCTCATTTCCGGGTAGGTTTCTGAGATGCTTTGCTCCCAAATCGACAGGTCCAAAATTTACAGAAGTCAGTATCTTGACTGCTTTCTCCTGAGGAAAGACACTCATCAAAAAAAAAAAAAGCTCAATGCATGCGTTGTTACAATACCAGTATTTCCGGGCCCAGAATGCGCTGATTAAAGCTAAGAAACTGCAAGCACATACTATACAAGTAACATCTCTAGGAATTGTAAGATTTTTATCAAATCGATGAATGGGTAAATGCGCTTTGCTGACCAGGAAGATGGGCATTTTTTTCCGTAGAACAACGGCTGGTTTGATCCCTACGTTCAGGCAAGTTTTTGACCATTTTCCCTCCAGGCAGCCGGCAAGAATTATTTGTTTACACTTTTGCTGGCGCATTCTACTCATTAGTACCAATCCTACTACGACTACGCCCAAGCAAAATTCAACCACGTGCTTGATATGGCAAATGCGGCGACTCTGGCCGTCGTCAAAACGGCTCTCAATCACAAGAATGGATGTGTTGTTCAGTTAAAGAATTGTGCCAATAACGGCAGCAACGACGTTTGCCAAGACGCCGACAATTTCTGCGCGCAATACGTATCGGCCCCCCTGCTTGGAAACAGAAGTACTTATTACTGTGAGCCATGATTTGTTTACCGGCGTTGAGAGTGGGGAAAGCCTGACGTGAGACGTTCATGTCCCAGTCCCCAACAGCAAAAACGATACTTTCCCTTCCCTATCGGTAAGACAATTTTCTTCGATAAGATATTCCGTCTCTCATCTACCAGTAGATCCCAATGTATGTTCTCAGCGGCTACTCATGCCTCTGCCGCAGTTTTTGAAATATTTAGATCGCAGCGACGTTAAGCGGGCAATTGGCGCCGAAACCCAGTTTTCGGCTTGTCAAGACAAGTTCGTCCTACCTGTTTATGTCCAGCATTTTCGCAGAAACTAATACTCCAAGCGCGTTTTTTGTATTTATTCTTCAGTATCGGTGATGACTTCTGGACTACTGCGGACGCGGTCAGGCCCACGATTTCTTCTTTGGGTAGATTACTTGACTCAGGGCTTCGCATAGTTATCTGGGCCGGAGTAAGTGCATTACATTAATTATCAGGTGGTGTACGGAGACTAATAAATACCGTTTTTTCTTGCTCTGGGTAGGATAAAGACTTTATCTGCAACTCGTTCGTACAGACATTTTGACATTATGGACTGCTTTTGACTTGAGTTCGATAATATTTCTCTGAAAAACTATATTTGTTGGATTATAGGTTGGGAGTCTATCGATCTCTCTTGGCTACAAAATGGAAGTATTCCAAACAGTTCGCCAAGGCTCCGTGGAAGAACCTTACCGTCCATGGCAAAGTAGGAGGCGTCTACAAAACTACAGGTGACTTTGTTTCTGAGCCCCAATATTTTCACTCGAATCCAAGCGACGGATCACAAGAATCTAAGTGTACTGCCCTTCCCTAGGTCCCTTGACGTACATCAAGGTATACAATGCAGGCCACGAAGTGCCAGCTTTCCAGTCAGTGTCCTGCCCTCTCAGTCATTTCATCTTATCATGAACTGAGAATCTATGATTGTGACTCCTATCCTACAGACCTGCTCTATCCTTGGAGATATTCAAACAAACGATTTCTCACCAAAACATTCATAACACGAATTGAGTAAACGAAAACGAACCTGGCCTTGGAGAATTCTGCGTAAGTCCAATCTTGCCGGCCGTCAGCTACCAGGACTCGTGGGGGAATAATTGATGATGCGTAATTCGTTCTCAAAAGCATAGCCGGCCCACTGCCCGGCTCCTAATGATTTGAAAGCTTTGTCAAGAAGACTGAAATTTTTACAACACCAGGATTTTAGTATTGCTTTCTCAATAAATCTTCCATATCAATATCCAGAATCATGAGATCCACGTCTGCAATGTCCTGAGATGCCCTATGCCAATCAAATATACAGAAATTTATCTAATAACTCCATGAAGTGGTCTGTAAATTTGTTGAGTTTGCAATGTGGTTAATTTGAACCTTTGGCCATCAAAAAAACAATGTCACTCCTGAGTCCTTGGCTATCAGCTCATTTCTTGCCCATGGCTACATTTGTACTTGATATTTCCCATTTTTCAGGTGTGTAAGAGTAATGGAAGACTTCCCATTGCAATCTACAACTCTCCCAGAAGTTGATTTACACCACAAGCCTGAATCTAGGTGCTCACTACCCTATGCATAACACTGGCAGATCACAGTTGCTAGGAAATCTAATTGACAATTTTATGTCAAGAGAAATTGCATGTATTCACTTGATCCAAGGTGAAATAAGTTTACACCGAGTTATGAAACCTAGGTAGTAGAAGATGAGGCTGATGACACTGTGCCAATAAATCTGGAAGACAATGAAGGCCTGGCCTTCTGGCAGACCATGCAGAGAGCTTTCTTTGGGCATTTCACCAACCTTCACCCCCAGGAGCGGGCAAATTTTTAAAACATACTGCAAGCCTGTTGATTGGTGAGTTGTTTTGCAGGAATCATGGTTTGCAACAGAGGCTCAGAACAACCTATGTACTGGCTTATCAATACCAGAAGCCCTCAAGGAAGGATATTCAACTTCTACAAATCCCTCCAGGCTCCAAGTAGAGATGGTCAAAGGGTATCCGTCGCGGATACCCGCTATCCCCTGGCGGATCGGGATACCCACCAGCGGGTGCGGATGGCCCCTTTTCCGCAAAACACTGGCGGGTATCCGGGTATCCCAAAGGATACCCAAGGCCAGAAGGGTAGATGGCCGGCTGGAAGGGTTTCCTTCCAGCTGTCAAGGTACATGTACCTCGCCGGCTGGAAGGAAATCCTTCCGTGAACCCCAGTGCCCGGATTCCCCGCAGCAAGCTTTTTGGAACCTTGCACATTCGGCATACTTTCTCCGCTTTCCCGCGCCTCGGCAAGCTAGACTTTCCAATAATGCACCGCCGCTTTCCTCAGCTTGCGTGTGTAGCGTCAGCTCCGCATGCTTTTCCGCGTCAGCTGCGAGCATTCCGCATGCACCCAAATAAACCTGCCAAAGCTTTGGTCAAGGCGCTTATGCCACCACAACGGCTGGAAGGAAATCCTTCCAGCCGTCAAGCATGTACCTCGCTGGCTGGAAGGAAACCCTTCCAGTCGGTCCCTCGCTGGCCCTTTAAAGGGCGGTTATCCAAGGATACCCGCTGGCGGATGCGGATGCAGGTGCGGATGCCGGTTTCCCTAGAAAAAGCAGCCGGATATCCGCATCCGCGCGGATATCCGGTGTAAGACTCAAAAAGTGGTTATGAAAACCCTTTTGCTGAATGGAGAAGGGGATGATGGAGTTGCAAGCTCTGCCCTTCTATGCTATCAGAACAACAAGACCACCAAGCTCAGCTTGGCAGTTTATATATTGTGATAGAGGATAGTTCGAGATGAAGCTGTCGAATGATTTGTATAACGGTTAAAGGTGTTGATGGTGATTGTTGATGATGATGTGGTTGTTGATGAAGTTGTTGATAGAGGTGTCAATGATTGTTGTCGGGGTTGAGGCTTGAACGCAGGTCCTTGAGGTTGAGGGTATATAAAGTTAAAAAGAGGCGATTTGGAACCAAGGCGCTGGGCGCTGGGAGCACTATGATTCATGGTTATATGACTGTGACTGGTAATATAATGGGTGGTGATTGTAAGGGTGGTTGAGATGATCTGGTCCACTGGTGGGATGATGAAAGGTACAACTGGCAGGCAGAGGCCTCCTTATATAGACAAAAGTGAGGGATTTTAGCTCCAGGGTACATGCAGGTGAGGGAATTTAGCTGGCCTGAAAATCCAATGAGGGAATTTAGCTAGTCTAATACATGCAGGTGAGGGAATTTGGCTGGTGAGAGCACTGCCTTGAGGGATTTTGGCTAGCCTACAAGGTCCTACTACAAAGCAATGCATGTGCACCTACAAAGGAATTCAATATGAAATATAAGCCAGTAAAGGAATTCAATATGATACAAAGGAATTCAATATGAAATATGCATCCAGTATTCAAAATGAGACGTGGTCAGGATAATAATAAAGAAAAGCTCCTGTGACAGCTTGAGATAAGTGTAACTTCTGAACCAGTAGAGATAAGAGGGTAGTTGTAGTGAGTGAGTAGGGGTTATTTTACCTCAGGAATCCATTTTTGATGTTATTTTTACCATATCTTCAATATTTAGCTAGATAATAATAAATTTTTATATTTTTTGGCGTAGAAACACAGGAATAATTACCACACCGGATTTTAATCGACCATCTCTAGCTCCAAGTAAGAGCTGTCCGGGTTGTGAGTGGAGCAAACTGACTGGTCAGCATACTCATCAGCTCAGTTGTGCTGAATTTGCGGCAAGCTTCAGCCGTCTGCTTTGTGATTGGGGTGTTGAGCTTGAGAGATCAGAGATTGTCTCCCAATTCTTTGCAAAGCAATCTGCATACTCAGGGCTCATCTCCATAAGGAGGTTAGCAAGTGCTTACATTTGATTGGTGATTTACACCCCATAGATCAAAATTTTTGATCAATTTTTTTCTGAGGGCTCCTGGCAATAGCTCTCACATGAGCTGGTTAGACTGAGAGACTCTAAGGCTCTGTTTGGCAGTCCATAAGTAAAAATATGTAAATCCGGATAATCAGAATATGGTAGATAAACCTTAAACCAATTATCACAAAGCTAGACAATCCGCTGCTTATTAAAGTGGATTTTTGGTGTTATAGCATGACCAACCAAACACTGTTGTCACTTATGATAATAAATGTGGTCCCCCAAAATAATTTGCAGG